CAATCCTTACAATGTTTACTCCAAGTAATAATCCTTACTTTTGATACACCAGCTATGACATGGAAAACGTCTCAGAGTGACTGTGTATTTGCAGGCAAATGCGGCAGCACACCAATGTCCCACAAATGGCCATGAAGTGATTGATCAATTTATCTGGAGAATTGCTGGAAGATTTCAATATAAATCCAATGCAATTTTATTTGAAAATCTCAGAAAGCAATCTGCTTCAGTTAAGTGCTCATTCCCTTTCCAGGTACTGAGTCCCAGAAAACTCTGATATCAGCTCAAGAGGATTTTTCAACAGGAAATGATGCATATAAAAAAATTGTCAATGAAGCAGAGATAAACATAATGAAATCACTAAAATGTTTTGATATTTTTTTCCAGAGAAAGTACAAAGGATGAAAAGCAACCTTCATCTAAGCTGTAACTCTAGACAGTTTTGTTTTCTTTGTAGTGACTTATTGCCTACAGTAAATCCTGAAAATCACTTTAAATGATTTTCAGGGCTTATTTCAGTGTTAAGACCACTGGTACTTAGGCTCTGGACATTTCTGATAATCTTTGCATTTGACATAGCACCTCTAACATTGAAATGTCTCAAAAAATGTTTCAAGAGCTTTTGTAAAGTGCAAGAACTCCAATGCATTCCTGTGACTCAAAATATACTTCATTGTGAAACATTCAGTGTACAATATAAAGAGTTTTGTTACATACATAACATACTTCAATATCTACTCATTCCATTTGTAAAGTGAATCTGAATTGTTGTGGCATGAAAGACTTCGGAACAATTGAACCAAACTTATGTATTAGCCTGACCACTCTCTTGAAAGCAATGGAGAGCTTCTGCCACCTTTATGGTTTTCATAATAATCTTGATCTTATGACCTCTTGTTGCAGAATCACTTACACTATAGGTGATTAATGACAGGAAGAGCATTTGGCATTTGTAGAGTGTAGCTGCACATAGCACCACTTTTGCTTGAATCCACCTGCACATTTGGCAGAAAATTCATAGTGCCAAACAGCATAAGAGGCAGCAACAGGGAATAATCTGAACATTGTGCCTGAGCAATGTGCCAGATCTAACAACTTTATTTAGGGGCTTTGGAGACTCCATTGTTTTGCTGTTTTTGAAACAGGAAAACATACAATAAAGAAAAAGCAAGTGGAGAATCCAGAAGGAACAGTTATGATCTCAAGGAAAAGTATGATCATAACATGGGATTTGGAAGCAATTTCTGAATTCTGTTAGGGCACCCCACACAGAAATGTTAATTTTTCCCATGGAAATAGCAAAAGCAAAGAACTAAAATTGTAAACCAATGCTAAAACAGAGGAAATAATCCACTCATATTCTGACTTGAATACATGAAGCCACAACATATATTTAGCTCTACCACAAAATTTGCAGTATTGTGCTCTTTGTTTCCAAATACAGCTCACTATTCATGAATCCTGAATTAGTTAGCTTGTTCTATATCCAGCGCTATGACCAATGACACATAAATAAAACAAATCCAGAATTTACATTGTACATAGCAATGTATAGGGTTGGAAAAGACCATCACAGTCCATCTGGTCCACCCCAAAGGTTTAAGAGCTTGAAATTTAAGATCCTCTGGACTAAAGGATTGTTCAGTGAGTTTTTCTGAGAGCTCATTATTCTCTTTCAGCACTTGCAAAGGATTGCAAGATCTGGACACCAATTCTGTGGCAAAGACATGTTATATTCATATGCATGCAGCATATGTGGCATGTAGGCTGGTGGTTTTTGCTGGCTCCACCACAGCAGCAGCAGAAAGCTTTTTATAGATTCATGGAATCATAGAATCATACAGTGCAGAAGGAGGCCATTCAGCCAATCATTCCTGTGCTAGCTCTTTGAAAGAGCTAACAGCTGGTCCCACTCCCCCTCTCTTACTCAATTGACTGGCAAATTTTTTCATAGAATTTTTGTTCCAAAAAATAGAATATTTTAATACTTTAAGAATACTGAATCAAGATATACTTCCCTTTTTTTCCCCAATATGTATACAACAAAATTAGACTTTAAATAATTGTGTGTAACTGAATTGAGTTATACATAAAAGAAAGGTTCCAGATCTGAACCTTGGTTTGTGCTGAGTCAGCTGTTCTTGGCCAGGGATAAAGTAGTGATCCTATCGACAAAGTATACAGTCAATTCACTTTACAGTATATTCTGTGAAGCGCCTTGAGACGTCTTGAAGCTATGATAAGTCGCTAAATCAAATGCAACGATTATTATTATTGGTTTTAACACCCTGGATTAGGACATAATTAGCAGGGTTCCTGTTTATGATAATAATCCTTGTTATAATAATCCTTGCATTTGATATAGTGCCTTATCACATTGTTGAGACATCTCAAAGCACTTCACAGAATAAATTGTAAAGTGTAGTGACTGTGTACTTTGTGGGCAAAACACGGCAGCCAATTGCCCAGTGTCCCACAAACAGTCATGGATTAAGTGTCCAAATTATTATTTTGTTGGAGGGATTATTACCCCCAGAAAGCAATCTGCCAGTCGACTAACAATCAGGTTACCTAGCAGTCTACTTATTGCTAGATAAACCGAGGTGTGTGAGTAAGGAAACTTGCCTAACCAATCAAATATAAAAATAGAGAGTTTATTCAGATCACCATTTCTCCATATCAACTCTTGTAGCAGTTTTGTAGACAGTGGCCTTTACACTAAGGTGACCACATTTTGTAAAAAATGGGGACACAAATAAAAAAAATTTAAATCACCACAGTTTCTGATACTGGCAGTCCTGGAGGAGCTTGTAGGATGAATGGCTGTGTTTCTCTGATGAATGTATCTGTTTTAAAATATTATTGTTCTTGCTGAGTCTGTTACTGAACTCAAGACACAGCAAATTTGGCCAGGGATATAATACTTCATTTGGGGACTGTCTCCTACTTTTCATGTCTCAAACAGCACTGTACCACCTCTCCTGGCACTTGTTCCAGTCATTGAATAATCTCTGCCTAAAAAAAAACTTCCTAGTATCTGTCCTGAAACCGCCATTTACAGCTCTAATCTCATGTCCTCTTGTTCAACTGTCTTGATACATCCTAAAGTATTGTGATTTCAATTTTTCAATCCCATTCGAAAGTTTATACATCTCTGTAAGATCCCATCTGAGTCATCTTCCTCAAGAATAAAGAGCCCTAGCTTGTTTAATCATTGCTCATTTTGTGGCTACTCAAGTTGCTGAGCTGAATTTCGGCCCGCTGATGTCTCCTCACCATTAAGTTGGTGGTCCTCCTTCCCACATTGATGTTCTCATGTCACTCAAAGACAGCTTTCACTCTTGTCATGTTTGTTTGGTAAAACGTGTTTTTCTACTGAGGTGCTCTTTTGCTACAGTGTAAATTTAACATCAGCAACTGGATTGCCACCATTGGTCAATAGGCTTGTTAATAGGCTTGTACTTGTTGGTGGGAGTAAACTTCAGCCAGTGTGAAGTTTACCAATCTTGGCAACTGGCCCAAACAGCAGAAGAATAATTCTTGGCCCTAATACGAGATCCTAAGTGTTCTAACACCTAGTTGTGTAAAATGTGAGGTAGTTATTTTGATGCCGAGCACAGATTAACCCTTGGAATCCTGCTTGACTTCTGATTTTAAAATAATATAATAATCCTTGCACTTGATACTATTCCTCCCACCGTCCCCCAGCCCCCCAACTCAGGTCTCAGAAAGAAAAATAATGTATTGCTTTATTACATAGTTATATAATAATAATAATCCTTCCATTTTGATATAGTACCTTATCACGTCATTGAGACACCTCAAAGCATTTCACAGAATACAGTGTAAAGTAGATTGACTGTATGTTTTTGTGGCAAAATGCAGCAGCCAATTGTCCATAGCAGTGTCCCAGTTGTGTATTGAGTGACCAAATTATTATTATCTGGGGGTATTATTCACTCCGGAAAGTGATTTGCCAATTGACTGACAACCAGGTTTCCACTTACTGCTAAGCAAACAGAGGCGTGTGGAGTAAGGAAACTTGCCTAAGATTTCTTCCCTTAGGCACCCTGGTCCTTTCCCTTGCAAGGTGAACGCACTAACCGCTATAATACAGGACTCCACAATCAGTCTTGTTTCTGAGAATTTCACATTGGAGAAAAAATTCATTCCTTTTATTTCCTCTGAAAGAAGCAATTTCTCATTAATATATAGATGTAAATCAAGTCTAAAAGGCAGAACTGGCATAGTTTCTGGTCCTTCTTCAAAAGCTTTTTCTATTAATCTCTGTCATCTGGAATGATTCTTTTGAGGGGGAAAAAAATCTTGTTTCTGGAAACCTGAAAAAACGAAGAAACTAGACTGGATTTTTCTCCAAATAAGGTTAGCAACATTCATTGCTCCAGCGTTGTCTAAATAAATCCAGTTTGTTTTCCAAGATACACTATTAAAATAGAAAAGAGCTTTGGATCGAAACAGAGCATCCATATATGCAGAGAGAGAGAAACTTTGAGAAATATTGACTTGATTTATTTATGCAGCTTTCCCCACGTTCTCTGCTCTTCTTGTTGCTTTCACGATGAACAGCTCTTTCATAATGACCCCTTATGATCCTCATATGATGTTTCTTTCACTGGCAAGTTAAAGTAAACATTAATATCCTCCTGTTCTGACCTCGACCGAGCTCTCGCCTGCAGTGCGTTTGGATGTTTAAATGTTGCTTTCAGTGCAGCCATGTGGCATCTGAAATAGATGTAAGCATCTGGCCATCAATCTTAATACAGAATGTGTGTACAGTAGTAAACTTTTTTATCCTCTGTCATCTCGGGCAAACAGGAAATGCCTTGAAATTTCCTCATACTTCCTGCACTCTCGGAGCACTGCGAAACTTCAGGAGTTGTCACTTGTTCAAGTTCAGTTCACACACACACAGACAGGAGCAGAATAGCCTTTCTCTCTCTCTACTGAGCAAAATCTGTTCGCATTTGTTGTGGGGGGGGGGGGGGAAGAGGAAAATACAAGACCTATCATGTTCTGGAAGCTGGAATGCATAGCTCTGATCCTGATGAAAGGTAAGAAGCTTTTTTTTGGATTGATCAGCAGTGATAAATTATTCATCTTGCATTCGGTTGCCCATGTAAATGTTACAGCCCAGTCTGCTGGCATGTTGACAGTCTAGGCTTTACTTACTAAACAGTGCTGACTAACTGCATCTGCAGTTTCATGGGCTATCAATGATCGGTGGCTCCTCTGTATGTTTGATTCTACTTCAGTGCTGAAAGAAAACAGATTTTGTCAGTTAATTTGCTTCCTTTGTGTCTCAGTGAGCTCGATGTTCATGTAAACATTGCGAACCTAATGCAAAGAAAACGTGCTGAGAAATGAATGAGGTGCTTGCAGTGTTATCGAGTGCCTTTGGTTCATCCAAAATCGGGAGCTCAGCTCAAAGCAGATTATTTGAATGTTTGCTTTCACTTGCAATTGATAAAGCGAAAACCACATACAGGTAAATTTTCTCACTCTTTTTTAATAAATGAGCTTTTCAAAGTGGACCTTACAAGGGTAGCAAAATTCCTGGGGGAATATATACAAATAAATCAAACCTTCACTTGTTTTGCATATTATAGATAGCTTAAGCCCACAAAATGTACAGTAAATTCACTTTACGGTATATTCTGTGAAGCGCTTTGAGACGTCTCAATGACATGATAAGGCGCTATATCAAATGCAAGACTTATAATTATTATTGTTAGCTTTGCTTTACATCTGTGATTTTGCTAGTTGTCCAGCATTGTGGTTCAGCGTCTTTGAACTGAGTTTTAATGGTAATGTAATGAGCCTTGGTATTACGGTTGATTCATAATAGTACACAGTGTCTTAGAAGAAACACTACTAATGTTTCCATGGAAAAGGTTTGGTCACTCACACAGAGTTCAACTGAAATCTTGGTCTTTTTTTGTTTTACACTTTGGGAAAAAAAACACAGGAATTAGCTCAAATGCTTCACTATAGTTATTTTCCTTTGTTTCTATCTAGAGATATAAATAGTCTTTGGCGCCTCTCCTTTCCTTGTGCAAAGCAATGCATGTTTTGTTTAAAAGTTCCCTGTTCAGAAAAAAAATGCTGAATGTTCTCCAAACCAGCTTCCAGTGGTCAGGGTGTTCCCATATAAACAGTGATCAAAGCAGACCAACAATATTGCTAAGTATGAATAGGCATTTAAACGGAATATACAGGACTTGATAAAGAAGGAAGCTCCCTCAAAGGTTCAATGAGTTGATTTCTGAGTAGCGGAACCATGTAGATCAAACGGTTTCTTGAGTCCATGTTGAGTTAGCTGATGTCAGCAAGGGAGGTATCAGGAATGACACAAAGATCTCATGTTTCCAGAATGCCCTCTCTAGCATCCTCCATCACAGCACCAAGATGCTTTTTAACTGAAACCAGCGTCCAGGCCTCAATGATGATTCCTGGATTCCTGTTCCAGTCGTTAATTACCCTCAGGGGAAAATTTCCTGGAATCTGCCCCAAAATTGCCCTTTGCAACCCTAAACCTCTTATATTGCTATTTTAAAATAGTGCAGTACTGGTGTCCCTTCACCAGTGAATGTCCCATATGCTGAAGCCCCTGACCCTGTTAGTGCCTGTGGTAAAGAATGAAAGGAATTCCAAGTGGACATTAAAGATTTCATAGCAGCATTCGAAAGAGAAGGAAGTTTCTCCTGGTGTCCTGGCCAACAATTCTGGCCAACAAACCTCATGCAGGGTAAAGTCCCAGAACATTTTAAGCTATTCATCACGCCATTTGATATCGCATGATAAGGTGCTGAATTAAATGCAAGGATTATTATTTTTATTATAAAGTGCCTCACAGGATTTACTACAGTGCGATAACTGTATTTCTAGGCAGATGTGGCAGCTAATTTTGGTAGGCCAATGTCCCATAAAAAAATTAAGAAATGACCAATTTTATCTTTAGAATTGTTGTTCAGGATACCTCTTCTCTTTATAAATAGGGTCGTGGAATCTTTAACATCCCCTGAACAGGTAGATATAACATTTCATCGAAAGAAGGCACGTCTTTTTGATAATTTAGCCCAACCCAAGCATTTCAATGGAATGTCAGCCCAGAATATGAGCTCAAAGAAGTTAGTACAGTCAAAATTATCAGTTATAAGTGACTAGAGAGCAAGTCAGTGATTAGAGAGCATTAATTTAAAATAGCAAGGATGCAAATGGGGAAATTAGGAGGATTTTTTATTCAGAATTTTATTCAGTAATAATAATCCTTGATATAGTGCCTTATCATGTCTTCAATATGCTTCCAAGGCCGCAATGCAAAGCTTGATTCCAGGGCCCCGACCAGTGTTGCCAGTGGGTCCCTGAGCAGCCGAACTTCGTGAGTGGATGTCCCACCCCAACAGTGTGACTAATGGCTGGAAAGCGGCCATTGTGGGCCCGGAGCAACTTCGGATTTGCTGCGGTGAGGTGTCCATCACACCGTGCACCCCACTTCGGTTGGTGGGAGGCGATTTCAGTGGGTTTTCAGAGCGGAGTGGGGCCTGGCCCAGAGCTTGTGAGTTCACAAGTAAATAAGTCACGATGACCAGGGTCCTCCTCGCTGCCCTATGCAATTGCTTGGGTTGCATTGCCTAGCACCGCCAGTGTGTGTTGGTCAGAATAGGATTCATATCGGCTTTCAAGAGGGGATATTTTAATAGGATTAATTTGCAGGGATATATAGAAAAAGCAGGTATATGGGACTGAATCCTTGGATTTGATATAGCACCTTATTATGTCTTTGAGACGTCTCAAAGCACTTCACAGAATATATTGTAAAGTGAGTTGAATGGATTGCTCTTTCCACAATCATTGTTGTCAATGAGTGACTTGCACGGTTTTTGCCAGTGCCAGCAAAGACAAAATGAGCTGAATTTATTATTTATCTTCTAACCTGTGAAGCCTCGATGATGTGATTGACTATATCACATGCAGGGATTATCATTATTGTTATATGATGACAAAATGTGAACATTTTTTCAAATTGAAATGCTTGAAAACGTCCACTCTTGTTTATTCAGGTGTTTCTGTAGTTAGAAAAGTGACCTTCAAAGCAGGTGAACTCACTACTGCTTGTCTTTTCAGCAACCATGACTCCCTGAATGTGTTAAATTTTCTTCTTTCCAAATAAAGCAGCATTGGAGTCCCATCACCAGTGAACGTCCTATTGTCAAAGTCCCTAACCCTGTTATTATACTCTGTGACAAAGGCTGAAAGGTATTTTGCCAGGGCATGAAGAATTAACAAATTGGAGTATATGTCTCTTGATGTCCCCTACCCCGGTGTCATTTATTTACATCTTGCCCTCTGGTATTTCACTTAATTTGTCATAGCTCTATGCTGTAAGATGACAAAGGTTCAATGCTAAGTTGGAGGAGGAAGAAATCCAATAGGATTCTGAGACTGCGCACACCTCCCCCTCTCCCCGGCTCAGGGTCATGCTCCACCACTGTCAAACACTCTGGGATTCTGCCATGCAATAGGGTCGCTATTATAAATGGAAGTTGTTGTTGTTAATACATCAATGATGTGTTTTCAAAGATCTTCACAAGATTTTTACTGTGAAGTGCAATGACTGTATTTTGTAGGTGAATGCCAGAACCTATTTGTACACAGCAATGTTCCAGAAACAGTCATCAAATCATGACTTTTTTTTATTATGTGGAGGGGATTGTTGACAAGACACTGGGAGAAACACCCTTCTCTTTTCAAATAGAGTAAATTGACATTCACCTCATCTCATTCAAAGGATGCCATATCTGGCAATGAGGCACTTTCCCCAGCATTGTTTTGTAATATCAGCCTAGAGCAGAGTGGTCCTCACTTTACACCTCACAGAGCCAATACGGAACCTCATCGTCCTGTTCGACCTTCAACTGTCCTTCATCCCCTACATCCGTGCCATGATCTGCTCCGCTTTTCCCCACTGGCAACATTGGCCAGCTCCCCCACTGCCTCTCATCCATGCATTCATCACATCCAGGCTGAATTGCTTGTTGACTTCCCCAACTCCTCCCTCCACAGGCAGCAGATCATCCAGAAGTCAGCAGCCAATGACTTCTCCCTCACCAGGCTCTGCAACCCTATCACCCCATCCTCACCCAGCTCCACTGGCTCCCCATCACTCAGAGGATACAGTTCAAGATCCTGGTTCTCAGCTTCAAAGCCCTCCATGATCTTGCTCCCCCCTACCACTGTGACCTCCTAACCCCCTACAACAACAATAACAACAGCAACAAAATTACATTTATAGAGTGCCTTTCACATCGGGAGAAAGTCCCAAAGTGCTGAACAACAGGTGTCGGGGCCCTAGCATGGGGGAGGGGTGGTGTAGGGGAGAGGGAAGGCAGAGAGGTGGAAGGGTGACCAAAGGCACGATCGAAGAGGGTCTTGAGACCGGCCTTCAAAGACATAAGGGAGGAAACGAGACAAAGGGACCATGGGATGGAGTTCCACAGTGTGGGAGCAGAGAGGCTGAAAGCCCAGCCACCGATGGTAGGGCAAGTTGGGCGGGAGACATGGAGCAGGCTGGAGCCCGATGAACGGAGGGAGCGGGCAGGTTGGTAGGGAGTCAGCAGGTCAGAGAGGTACGAGGGGGCAAGTCCATGGATGGCCTTAAAGGTGAGGATGAAGATCTTGAATTCGATCCTCTGGGGGATGGGAAGCCAGTGGAGTCGGGCGAGGGTGAGAGTGATGGAGTCACGGAGCCTGGTGCGCGAGAATACATGAGCTGCAGAGTTTTGGATTATCTTCAGCTTGTGAAGGGAAGAGTTGGTAAGGCCGATGAGGAGGAAGTTCCCGTAATCGAGCCTTGATGTGATGAATGCGTGGGTGAGGGTTTCGGCAGCCTGAGGTGTGAAGCAGTGGCGGAGTCTGGCAATGTTGCAGAGGTGGTGGTAGGCAGTGCAGGTCATGGTGCGGATGTGGGGGAGAAAGAACAGTTCAGGGTCAAACAAGGTACCCAGGTTTCCCTACCGGACTGTCCGCTCCCTCTGTTCAGCAGCTCTGGCCT